TTTAACACAAGTGTCTATTCAGATTCTTTGCACATTTTTTAATTTGGTTGTTGGATTTTTGTTAGTTTTTTTGGTGTTGAGTTTTGTAAGTTCTTCATAAATTTTGGATATTAACCCCTGATCCAAAACCAGTATTGGTGAAGATGTTCTCCCATTCTGTGGGTTTTCTTTTTATTTTGTTGATAATTTCCTTTGCTGTGCAAAATCTTTTTAGTTTGATGTAGTCCCATTTGTTTGTTTTTTCTTTTGTCTCACATGCCTGGGGATATATATTTGATAAAAAAAATTGCTACTAGCAATGCCTGAGATTTTGCTGTCTATGTTTTCTTCTATGATTTTTATGGTTTCAGTTATAACATTTAAATCTTTGATCAATTTTGAATTTATTTTCCTGTGTGGTGTAAGAATGTGGTCTAGTTTCATTTTTCTGCATGTATCTGTCCAATTTACCCAACACTATTTATTGAATAAACTATCTTTGGCCCATTGTATGTCCTTGTTTCTTCTGTTGAATATAATTGACTATAAAGGTAAGAGTTTGTTTCTGAGCTCTCTATTCGGTTACATAGACCTACACATCTGTTTTTATGCCAGTATCATGCTGTTTTGATTACTATAGCCTCATAGCATGGTTTGATATTAGGTAGCATGATTCCTCCCACTTTGTTCTTCTTTCTCAGGAATTCTGTTGCTATGTGATGTCTTTTGTGGTTCCATATACATTTTTGAAATATTTGTTCTACTTCTGTGAAATATGTAACTGGAATTTTGAAAGGAATTACTTTGAAGCTACATATTGCTTTGGGTAATACGAACATTTTAATGATGTTAATTCTTCCTATCCATGAACACAGTATGTGATTCCACTTATTTGTATCTTCTGCAATTCCTTTTTTGTGTGTCTTATAATATTCTATGTATAGACCTTTTACACCCTTGGCTAAGTTTATTCTTATGTATTTTATTCTTTTTGGAGGAATTGTGAAGAGGATTGTTTTCTTAATTTTTCTTTCTGTTAGTGTGTAACTGGCATATAAAAATGCAACTGATTTCTGGATATTAATTTTGTATTCTGCTATTTTGCTGAATTCATATATCAGTTTGAGAAGTTTTTTGGTGAAATCCTTGTGGTTTTCTATGTACCGTATCATGTCATCTGCAAATGTTATCAGTTTTACCTCTTCCTTTCCAATTTTTATGACTTTTATTTTGTCTTCTTGTCTGATTGCTGTGGCCAGGACTTCCAGTACTATGTTGAATAAGAGAGGTGAAAGCAGACTTCCCTCTCTTGTTCTCAATCTGAAAGAGAACACTAGAAATTTTTTCCTGTTGAATATGATGCTGGCAGTGAGTTTTTCACACATGGCCTTTATTGTATTTAAGTACATGCCCTCTACTCCCACTTTGCAGAGGGTTGTTTTCATAAATCTGTGCTGAATTTTTATCAAATACTTTTTCTGCATCTATTGATATGATCATGTGGTTTTCATCCTTCATTTTGTTTATGTGGTGAATCACATTTATTGTGTTGTACCAACCTTGCATGCCCAGAATAAATCCCATTTGATCATAGTATATAATCTATTTGATGCATTGCTCTACCAGTTTGCTAATATTTTGATGAGGATTTTTGCATGTATGTTCATCAGGGATATTGGCCTATAATTGTCATTCTTTCTAGTATCTTCATCTAGTTTCGGCATTAGGATAATGCTGGCCTTGTAAAATGAGTATGGGAGCATTCCTTCCTCTTTAATTTTATGACATAGATTGAGAAGGAAAAGTGTTAGTTCTTCCCAGAATGTTTGGGAAAATCTATTTGTGAGACTATCTAATCCAGAGCTTTTGTTTGTTGGGAGTCTTTTTTATTACTGCTTCAATCACTAAATGTAGTATATATATTCAGATTCTCTGATTCTTCCTGATTTAGTTTTGGAAGATGGGATATTTCTAGGAATTTATCCATTTCATCCAGGTTTTCCAATTTGTTTTCATGTAGTTGTTCATATTTTCTTACAGTCTTTTGCATTTCCTTGATATCGTTGTTATTTCTCCTCTTTCATTTTTTATTTTATTTATTTGGGTCCTCTTTATTTTTTCCTTGATTAGTGTGGTTAAAGGTTTGTTAATTTTGTTTATCTTGTCAGAGAACCAGCTCTTGGATTCACCGATCTTTTGTATCATTTTTTAAACTCTATTTTATCCATGTCTCCTCTGATCTTTTTCATTTCCTTCCTTCTACTTACTCTAGACTTTGTTGTTCTTTTTCAGGTTCTTTTAAGTGTAAAGTCAGATTGTTTATTTGAGCTTTTTCTTGTTTCTTGAGATAGGACTATAATGCTATGAATTTTCCTCTTAGGATTGATTTCCCAGAAGTCCAGAAATTTTGAGTTGTTATGTCCTCAATCTTATTAGTTTCAAGGTATCTTTTGATTTCTTCCTTGATATTGTTGATCCATTCATTGTGTAATAACATGTTATTTAACTTGTATATCTTTGCGTGTTTTTCAGTGCTCTTCTTGTGATTGATTTCTAGTTTCATTTTATTTGGTGGAAGATGCCTGATATGATTTCAATCTTCTTAAATTTATTAATACTTGTTTACTGTTCTAATATGTGGTCTATCTTAGAAAACATTCCATGTGCACTTGAAAGTGTGTATATTCTGCTTCTTTATAGTGAAATGCTTTGAAGGTATCAATAAGCCATTGTGTCCTTATTGATTCTCTTCCTGGAAGATCTATCCACTGAAGTCAATGGGGTGTTAAAATCCCCAACTATAACTGTGTTGGGGATTCTCTGCTTGGAAGATCTATCTGCTGATGTCAATGGGGCATTAAAATCCCCAACTACAACTGTATCTGTCGATCCCTCCTTTAATGCCCATAAAGATTTGCTTTACATATTTTGGTGCTCCTATATTGGGTGCATAAATATTTAAGTCATAAATATTTTATTAATCATAGCTTCATTGGTACTAAATCAAATCTGAGGAGAGTCAAGATGTGAAATCTTTAACAATAGTGATGATGGCTTGTACTTCTAAAGACAGTCTTCTTAAAAGGAATGCCATAAGTGTTATAAATCTCAGTGGTCATCTTGCACATTTGAGAAGACAGACATCATCAGATCCTGACACAGCAAACACACAGCAGCTGCATTTGTGGCATAGATACTCAAAGCTACAATTGTTAAACTTTATATTCACTACTTCATTGGCTGTTCCAAATGACTTCATTTTAGTGATGAAAAAGTGAGAATGAGCAGGGTGAAAAAATCTATCCAGACATGCTGCTGGCAAGCAGCAGGATATGATTCTATCACATAGTTTCTGATTCTTCCTGGCAAACAGACTGGCTCAGAGAGCTTTTCTCTCTTGCCCATGACTCTCCTAGTTGAGCAGGAAAATATTTTCATAGTTAAGACAACTCTAGAAACTTCTGGTTTCTGGGGAACGTGAGTCTAGATGGGGGCAGACGTAACATATCAAGCACCTGATGGTCAGGTCATTAAGTTTCTTTTCTCACATGAAAATATCAGGAAGCTCCTGCTCAGAGATGACCAACTTTTAGATAGACTTGGGTTCCTATGGATTTGGGAATTTGTCTGTCATTGTAATAAAAGCTTATAAAATGCCAACCCTTCACATCCCATCCCTGTGTCCTTAAGGAATCCAAAATCCATCTATATCCAGGTTTGTTTGGTTATTTTTTAATAGAGCATCCTAAAAGTCAGCATTGGTATTCCATGGCCTCATAGTCCAGTCATTTCACATATAAGTGAGTCACTTTAATGCACACTTCTCTAGGAAAAAATACCATTTATCTGTCTCCAGTTGAGAAAACAGTAAGAATATAAATTTTCTATTCAGTGATCACTAAAGCTAAATTTTAAAACATGTCTGTGCAAATTTCTATTCAGAGCATAATAAATAAGTTACCACTAATTGGAATGATCTTAGTCTGAATGAGAGATTTTTCCTACTTAATAATTCTTGAGAAACAAACTATTTTCATATATATCTAGTTAAATAGTCATTACTATTATATCTGTTTTTTAATTCCAAATGTTCTACTATAGTCATCTATACATTAGATAAAATTTTGCACTAAATTATCTTTGAACTAAATAAACTCTAATAGTTGCCCCTAATTATAAGATCCTGTGATTCTCTGCACCTTAAATAATTAAATAAATTAACTATTGTATGCATGCAACCCCTTTAAAAGACATTTTCTTTTACTCTCCCTACTTTGCAGATGAGGAAACTGAGGCAAAGAAATGTTAAGTGACTTTTCCAAGGTTGCACAGTTAGTAAATATTACAGGCCAGATCTTACTCTTGCATTCTTTCTCCTCAGGTAATAATGGGGAAGATTGGGGAAGTATTCCTGCAGGGAGTGTGAGTTGAGGCAGAAGTAGATATAAGCAGTAAAGATCTATGATGGAAATAGCATCTCTGTTTGAATTAGATATTTATAAAACTACTATCTCTAAACAATGTCATATATTACTAACCAATGCTAATATTGACTGTACTTTAAATTTTGTTGAAATAAACATACTTAATGCAACTTTCTTAGAATTAATGCTAGTATGGAGCCTCAGGATTCAACATCTATTTGTAATTTCAATGTATTATAATTTTCCTCTTTTATTTATGTTTTGGGGAGACTGTGATATTAATTATTATAAAATAGAGTTCTGTATATTTGAAGAAGAAAAAAGGAAAAAAGTGTTTTAAGCTTGATTTTCATTAAGCATCATGAACATAACAACTAGAGGGTAGAGGTAAAACAAAGCAAAAAGCTCTAGAAGTTTGGCACCATGCTAAAAAGTACTGCTTAGAGGAAAACACCATTAAACAGACCCTAGTTTCTTTAAAGTCATATGAATAGAAGTATTTTCAGTAACAAATAAAATATTTTCATATAGTTTTACTTGAATTGAATCCTTTAAGACTAATACATTTTGGATTATTTTTGCTTGTATTCTACATAGTATATGTCATTCTTTGTGTTTAATCATCTCCTGGAGTCAATAATGGACAAGGTATATATCTACAGGTAAAGTAGTGCTCAGTAAGCATCAGGACTAGGAGAGAAAGCAAGGATACATTTCAGACAGAAAAGTATGACTTCCTTGGAAAAGAGGAGAGATCATCTAAGATTTTTTGCTATATAGAGTATAAGGTTATATTCTAAAGCAGATTTGAATATTTTTTGAACTGAGAGAAAAGTATTAAAATCATACTAGATTTTGGAGAATACAGGACTAAAAAATAGGCTGAATTGCCTCCTTTCGTCAGAACAAATACAAATAAATGTGCTCTGTCACAAGCTGACTTTATGTCTCTCTCATGACAATTCATTCTCAACTGAATTCATTCATTTGCTGTTTTGAACCTCACTTGCATGAAGACTTCCATGAGCTTCCCCCAGGTATTCAGTTAAATCAGCATTGCATATTTTATGAGATTCAAAGGGGAAAGGTAACCCTGGATGCATGCTTTTCAGGGAGTTGATTCATACCATCTGTAAAAAGAGAGGGTGGTATTTTACACTCTGCCAGTCCAGTCAAGACACTGCATTCAGAAGACATCCAGGGGTACCATTATTTTACATTGCATAATGAGAGTTAACAGTTCACAAGTTTGGAGCAAAGAGGTTCACTGGAGACTTTCAGAAGAAGGAAATGTTAAATAGGCAGTATTCCAGAAACAATACAAGTCCTTGCTTTGCCCTTATTATCCTTGACAGAATCATTCAAACAAGAGGATACTTTCTGTTTGCTCTCCATGTGAATGCCTGCATTTATTACTGGGCATCAGACTATGGAAGAATTGGAACTACTAAATGGGTGTATAATGGTGAAGGAAACAAGTAAGTTTTAATTTTGAAGGAAACTTTTATTGAATCTTCTTAACTTTATGTTTTAGTGTAAGAGTTTTCTTAAGCCAGTGTTTTTAAAACTGTAAGTCACAACCCATCAATGTGCAGTGAAAACTCTTTAATAGAATGTTTTCAAGTAGAGGAGAATAGAATAGGAAATCTCAGAGTCTGTTATATCCAGTAGGGTTTTGTGTGCACATGTGTGCATCCTGAGCTCACCTGGGAAATGAATTTCTTACTCTGCATCATGATCAATAGAGTCTGAAAACCTCTGATTTAGAGAACTGAGGGGTAGGATAAATTTTAATAGCTCCAATGCTGATTTTTAGTAATGAACTATGTTAATTATTTGGAGGGTACTTGCAGGGCTAGTTAGTTTACCACTTTAGGGTTTTATGGTTTATGAATCAGCTATAACCACTAACTCAATTAAACATTTAGAGAGTAACAAGGATCATAAATTAAGCTTGACAATTAGACATGCAAGTGTCCCAAGATTAAAAGAGATCATTAGAAAAATTGATTGCAGCACAATGAGGACTCAATAATGGCAGCTGAGTTATTTAGTGAGATTTTCCTCTGGCAGCTATGGAGTCCTGGAATAGAGTAGACTTCCCTTACTTTCCACTCCAGTAAAATGACATCAAGATATTATGATGCAGTGTCCTTACTGGAAAAGAGCAGGCTCCAGCATGACTTTGAAGGGCAACTCACAGCAGCCTTCAGAAAGAAAGCAATTATAGGGTACAGCAGAACGAGTAAAGATATCTCACAAAATTACATGCTACCTATAGTGATTAGGATGTATGTAAGGGTTTATAGCAACATTTTTGAACTTTTAACCAAAATTGATTCTAAAATTTTAAAGTTAGGCCTTGTTCAGGTAGGTCAGTTGGTTGGAGCATCACTCCATGCACCAAAATGTTGTGGGTTCGATTGTCAATCAGACCATATAGCTAAGTTGAAGATTTTATCCCTAGTTGGGGCACATGTAGAAGGCAACCAATCAATGTTTCTCTTTCACATCAATGTTTCTCTCCCTCTCTCTCCCTTCCTTTCTCTCTCTGTCTCTCTCCCCATTCCTTTCTCTCTAAGATCAATAAATATATCCTCAGTGAGGATTAAAAAAATTTATAGTCAGAAGGTTCACTGATTGGGAAAACACACACACAAATACTCAGAATATCCTTTGAAAGTTTCTAACCAAATCCATAAGTAATTCCCTTTAGAATGTGGAATAACTTAAGCAGGTATTTAGTTTACTATACATAAATAAATAATTTATATATGAAACTGAGTAAGGTATCAACTATATTAAATATTGCCTAAAAGTGATCATGTAATCCAACATAATTACATGCCTGAGTCTGATAAATGTTTTTCTCAAATAAGCACACTAATAGAATTGCATCAGAACGCCTTCCATTAAGCTAAGTGTGCTAATATTTTAGACTCCTAATTCCAGCTGTAGTGCAAAGCAGAATCCAAATTCAACTATGAAATTACTTGTAATTTTTATTGTTTGTGATTACTTGTTACAAGATACATTTCTAAATAAATTACCATTACAACAGTCTTCAATGGTTTTAAAATCATGAAAAGAATCCCCAAAATATAAAAAACAAACCTGTACTGGAATAGACGGGTGACACAGCCACTAAGGAACAGAAATAAAGAGGTTAATGTCCTCATCTGTAGAAGGGGAAAAAATAAAATAAGAAAACTAAAAAAGAAAATTTGTCAAAAAATAATGGCCTAAATTCCCCAAAGAAAAGAGATCTGACAATGTTAGTCAAAATAAGCTTTAAAACAAAAATAATTCTAAAGAAAATAGTGTCACCATGTAATGGTAAAAGTTTAAATTCCCCATTAATAATCCTAATTCTAAATGTGTATACAACCTAATAAAATACTTGTATCTAGTAATAAACCAAAGAAATGCATAAAGCAAAATGAATACTAGGAAGAGAAATCAGAAAATACATCATCAAAGTGCAAGATATCAACATGTAATGATTGATTTATCTAGCAACCAAAAACAGCAAAGATATAAAAGATTTGAAAACCCAGTTGACAAGATGGATTTAATGGCTATAAATAGAACCTTGAACTAGAGAGTTGAAAACTACAGAAAAATTTTAAAAACAATCATTTTCTAGGCGAGAAAACAAATTTCAATATATTTCACAGCATGGATATAATGCTGTTCATATTCTCTGTCTATGAAGATAAGCATTGCCTCATGGGCTCTGACTCTGCTTATATTTTTTCTCTAATTTTTCTTTATTTTAATCATTGTTGGAGTACAGTTTTCTCCCTTTTACTCCCAATCCAGCCCACCCACCCAACCCTCCCCACTTCCCTCCCATTACCACCCTCCCCCTACTTTTTGTCCATGTGTCCTTTAAATTTGCTCTTGTAAACCCTTCCCATTCTCCCCTGAAATTCCCTCTTCTCTCCCTCTGGTCACTGTAAGTCTGTCCCCTATTTCAGTGACTTTGGTTATATTTTGCTTGTTTCTTTGTTTTTTTATTTAGGTTCCTGTTAAAGGTGAGATCATATGCTATTTGTCTTTCACTGCCTGGCTTGTTTCGCTTAGCATAATGCTTTCCAGCTTCATCCATGCTGTTGCAAAGGGTAGGAGCTCCTTCTTTCTTTCTGCTGCATAGAATTCCATTGTGTAAATGCACCATAGATTTTTGATCCATTCATTTACAGATGGGCATCTAGGTTGCTTCCAGCACCTAGCTCTTGTAAATTGTGCTGCTATGAACATCGGGGTGCAAAGGTTCTTTTGGATTGGTGTTTTAGTGTTCTTAGGATATAGACCCAGCAGTGGAATGCAGGGTGAAAAGGCAGATCCATTTTTAGTTTTCTGAGGAAGCTCCATACTGCTTTCCATAGTGGTTGTACCAGTCTTCAGTCCCACCAACAGTGCACTAGGGTTCTCTTTTCTCCACAACCTCTCCAACACTTGTTGTTTGTTGCTTTGTTTATGATGGCCATTCTGACTGGTGTGAAGTGGTATCTCATTGTGGTTTTAATTTGCATCTCTCTGATAGCTAGCGATATTAAACATCATTTCATGTGTCTTTGGATTTTCTGTATGTCCTTGGAGAAGTGTCTGTTCAAGTCCTCTGCCCATTTTTAGTTGGGTTACTTGTCTTCTTAGAGTGGAGTCATGTAAGTTGTTTATATATTTTGGAGATTAGACCCTTGTCTGAGGTATCATTGGCAAATATGTTTTCCCATGCAGTTGGTTCTTTTTATTTTGATACTGTTTTCTTTAGCTGTGCAAAAGCTTTTTATTTTGATGAGGTCCGATTTTTTTCTTCTTTCCTTTATGTCCCTTGTTCTAGGGGACATATCAGTAAAAAAGTTTCTGCATGAAATATCTGAGATTTTCCTACCTACGTTCCCTTCTAGGACTTTAATGGTGTCACGGTTTATATTTAAGTCTTTTATCCACGTTGAATTTATTTTTGTGTAAGGTGTAAGTTGATGCTCAAGTTTCATTTTTTTTGCACGTAGCTGTCCAGTTCTCCCAACACCATTTGTTGAAGAGGCTATTTTTATTCCATTTTATGTTGCTGTTTCCTTTGTCAAATATTAATTGACTCTAGAGACCTGGGTTTATTTCTGGGCTCTCTGTTCTGTTCCATTGATCCATGTGCCTGTTTTTATGCGAGTACCATGCTGTTTTGATTACAGTGGCCTTGTAGTATAGTTTAGTGTCAGGTATTGTGATCCCTCCTACTTTACTCTTCTTTCTCAAGATTACAGCAGCTATTCAGGGGCGTTTATGCTTCCAAATATATTTTTAAAGTGTTTGTTCTATGTCTGTGAAATAAGCCATTAGCACTTTAATAGGTATTGCATTGAATGTGTAAATTGCTTTTGGCAGTATGGACATTTTGATGGTATTAATTCTTCCAATCCATGAACACGGTATATGTTTCCATTTGTTTGTGTCTTCCTTGATTCCTTTCCTGAGTGTTATGTAGTTTTGTAAATACAGGTCTTTTACCTCTTTGGTTAGGTTTATTCCTAGGTATTTTATTTTTCTTTTTGCTATTTCAAATGGGATTTTTTCCTTGATTTCTGATTCTGATATTTCATTGTTGCTGTACAAAAATAACTTCAATTTCTGAATATTGACTTTGTATGTCACTGTTTTGCCAAATGCATTTATTAGGTCGAACAGTTTTTTGGCAGAGTCTATAGGATTTTCTATGAAACTATCATGTCATCTGCAAGCAATGACAGTTTTGCTTCCTCCTTTCCAATTTGAATGCCTTTTATTTCTTTTTCTTGTCTGATTGCTGTGACTAAAACTTCCAGTCCTATATGGAATAGAAGTGATGAAAATGGACAGCCTTGTCTTGTTCCTGATCTTAGTGGAAAAGATTTTAGTTTTTGCCCATTGAGTATGATGTTGGCTGTAGGTCTCTCATACATGACCTTTATTATGTTGAGGAATGCTCCCTCTATACCCACTTTGCTGAGTGTTTTTATCATAAATGGGTGGTGCACCTTATCAAATGCTTTTTCTGCAGCTATTGAAATGATCATGTGATTTTTGTCTTTGCTCTTGTTTATGTGATGTATTACATTTACTGATTTGTGAATATTGTACCATCCTTGCATCCCTGGAATGAATCCCACTTGGTCATCGTGTATAATCTTTTTAATGTAATGTTGGATGCGGTTTGCCAGTATTTGACTCCACTTATTTAGACTGGAGGGCTTCTCACTCAGAAGCTAGAAAGCTTCAATTTCCGGTTACCAATGAGGGACACAGATTGCCAGCTACAGAAAGAAAATACCTTTAAAGCAGCATTTTTACATATTTAACATAATTTGCATAGGGCAGTTACTAACATCACCTGCTCCTTCTATTGCTTCATATTGCATTTTGACCTTTAAAACTTGTAATGGTTTCAGCTTCTGAGGCCAGTAGACTTGTAAACTTTGTCCTAGTTAGAATCAGG